GTCTGGTTGTACTCTTTGCATTACACGATAACGTCAACTAAAAAACAAAATGTTATACTAGTGGTGTATGGCATCGTGCCTTAAGGCAAATTGCTGGAAGCTCCCGTACCGTAACGAAAGATCGAGAAATATTAATATTTTTATATAGATTTTTATAAATAAATATCGTAACATTTTCTAATATTATAAGAAAAAATCTCTCCAAAACTCCCCTTTACACTTACTATCTTGTTTTCGGAGCTGAACGCTGAACCTGTCCTTGCCAAAAATAATCACCCTTTTCCCCAATCATTACAAATTGAATGTTTTTAGATCATTCAAATCGGACACTCCGTTCTCTCGAAAACTCGATTTGTATTTTCTGCACTCTTTGCTCCGTATCTCCGTAACGGCTAGACCTGTCTTTGCTATGAATAGGAATCGAATGTTTTTTGAACCATTCAAATCGGTTGATCCGTGCGCCCGAAAATGTGGACGAAAAAATGCGGACATACAAAACACACACACACATCCATTTTTTCTGAGATATGCCAAAATGTTCAGAAACCTTCAAAACGTCGAGAAAAGCAAAAATTTTTATTTTCGATTTTTGAACCATTACGATACCTACCCTATGAGAAGTTAAATATATTTTAGTAAACTTATGGTCCAATTCTGCTGTAAAATAAAAACTACGTTACTTGGCTTTTTTCATATAAAAATTGTTTTAGAAAGGAATCCAGCGGTTGTCCTTTTTCTAATAATAATGTTATATTTTGACTTTTCATAGCAATACCGAAAAGTTCTTATTTCATTTGAAAATATATTGTGAGGTATATTGTCAAGTAAAAATAGAGAATACTACGGCTTGATGAAAGTTTGTCTAAAATGCACATTTGAACTAGAGACACGAGATTGCAAGTCTGAACAAAATATATATTGAATCCTTTGGTAGCATAATCATAAAAATTAATATTTTAAGACAATTTCTGTTATTGACATAAAAACTACAGAGATACATTCCCGTTCATATTAATACTCCAACTTATATGATGAATCGTTATAGTCACTATGAACCTATCACTACCGCTATAAATAGCTTTGTGCATTAATTAATTAAGTGTTTAAAGAAAATAATTATTATTCATCATTTAAATAAATACGGTTCTGCCAAAGGTTTCGGATGCCAGAATTGAGCAATAAAATATAGTATATTTTAAAACGTGTGCCCGTGACATCAGATTGAGGACGCTTTAGCCTTTGTCTATTAGCAAAAAAGTTGTTTTCCGCCCACATTTTGGGACCGTTCTCCAATTGAGTTTTCAAATCAAGACTCTTAAAGAAGAACTTGACTCGCAATCTATCGATGCGAAATATACGTTCAAAGGGATAATTCTCAAAGCTAACAAGCAATTCAAAGTACAAAGGTATTGTTCTACTTTTATTATTGAGGAATAATGCTGTGTCTTCAATCCGTGAAAGAAGATGCTTATAAACTTCCGTGGATTATTTATATCAGTATCATATATACATATACATGCATATACATACATACATACATACATACATAATAGGGTGGTCCTTAATATGGACATTTTAGAATTTCCTTGCTCCAAGAGCTCAAATGATTGCAAATTAATAAAAAAACTATTCTCTGAAAGTTTTAGCCCCTTAATATTAACTTTTAGATAGTGCGCAATTCAATCAAACTTCGTATGGAAATAGCATGGAAAAAATTTTGAAAATTAAAAAAAAAATTCAGGTACAAATTAGCGACAAATGAATTAAAAGTGAAAATTCGTGTTAATTTTTTATTGAAAATTCGACGCTTTGCAAAATTTTTGAAAAATTTTTCATGCTATTATTTCCCTACAAAACTTTGATTGAAATGCGCTCTATCTTAATAAACAATATTTA